AACTAGTTTGTACATAAGCCACTGTTATTCAATGCTCTCTCTCTCTCTCTCTCTCTCTCTCTCTCTCTCCACATTCATCAAGTTCAGCAGCCACTGCCAAGTAGAATTGAGTTCAACTTTAAACAATTATCACAATGAACACTAGTTCTCAGCCTGTGCAATGCGGAAGTACAATCTCATAGCCTCAATCAATCAAACTATGTATTATTTACAAAAGGGTGTAGTTTCTATACGGTCGCAATCTTAAACAATCCAATTAAGATGCACCTCCAAATTTTATGTAATTTTCGTGTAAAAAATTCTTAAAATTGTCTGAAAATCTATTTTTATATCTAATTATGTAATTTTAAATTCCAAAACTAGTTAACATCAAGTAAATCTATAAACATATGAAAATCTTGAAAATGAATGAGCAAGATAACGTGTTGCAAGATTCACTATTTCTAAGACTCGAAATCTTTGTTCTTTTTTTTTTCATATTCATATATCTCAATGTCGAGATGATCAATTATAAAGTTTTCAACCTTAAAACAACATTTTCTAATGGTGCATCTTTAATTCTACATTTTAAAGTTGCAACCTTATATAAACTTTTTCTTTTATAAAATCCGTTATATTAAATTTACATAAATTATTTCTCAATTAAATAACAACTAATTATATCAAGAAAAAACACAAATTGGACGACTCTTGTGATTATTGAAACAAAAAACAAAAAATTCTACTCATATTTTTTATAGTTTATCTTCATCCCATAAATGCAAAGAAATATATTAAGACTCCACTGACATGTGTTATTGTTATCTTTATTATTTTATAATTACAAGAAACAAGTAACAGGAAAGTTTAAAAATAATAAAATTCAAATAACTATATATATATATATATGAAAAAAACTAAGATCAACCCATATGAACATATGAGCCCAACAGCCCAAATTAAATCTGGACCGATCTCTCACTCAATTCCCAACTGGAGCAAATATATAACTTAATTTGATTAATCGATACCAAAGCTCCCACTGTGTTGTGTGTATGAGGAAGGAGAGAGAGAACATAAACTAACCCACAAACATGGAAATAAGAAACAGGACTAAACCAAGAGCACATGAAGGGGATGCCCCTGATGGAGAAACAGCAGTATCGATCATCGACACACAACATGTTCAAGCACAACAAAAATCATACATGAGTAACCAATCAAACTACAAAATGCGATTGCACTTCCTTTGTCAAAGAAATTCTAGTCTAGTGATTGTCAAAATGTAATATTTGTTTACGCTATACCAAGGGGTGTGGGTGGGGGGAGGGGGAGGGGGAGGGGGAGAGGGAGAGAGAGCCACACGGGTGAAATTCACGAGATCAAAGAAGCCACTGCCACCGCAGCTCTTTAACGTATTACAGAAGCTATGCAAAATGGAAGCCCCAAAATATTTAGGAAATATGCCCCAGAGAAGAATACTTCAAACTAGTACACATCTAACGATAATAGGGGGCCTGGGGTGGGTGTGCTCCTCGACCATAAGGCGGGAGCTGTGCACTTTGTAAAGAAGGCCCATTTGGCAATTGGTCAGACTGTTGCTGAAAAGTATTCCCATTCTTGGCATAGTTTTCCTGTGACAAATCTGATGGACTACCTAAAAGAGCTCCTGAATTAGCAGGATAAGTAGGAGGTGGCGGCGGCGGCATGAAAGCTTGACCTGGAAATGCATTGCTAGCTGGGTTAAAATTCGCTCTTGGGGCTTGTAAGCTTGGATTCCACATACCCACTTGACCATCTGGTACCATTGCTTGTGAGCCACCGCTGTAATCATTTCCAAGTGGACTTTGCCAACCTGGTGCGGAGGGTGGAATACCTGGAGCTTGTGGCACTCCTAATAGGTTTGAATCAGGAATCGTGTAGTCTTTGCTTCTATCATTGTGAGCCTGGAGAAAAGGAGACCACCAATTAGGGTTGTAGAATTGTTCGGCAAAAGTTGGTATAATTATGTCCTTTTGTTGATTTGTTCTTTATAAGGTGAAGCTCATAAAAGTTGAAGAAGCATACTTTGATGGAACCATCAGTTTCAAACAAAGCTGTTTAATTAATTTGCTTTTCTTTTTTTCTTGTTCTTGGGACGTTAACATAAAAACACATTTTATACCTTAACATTGAGATCAGTATGACGAGAGTATGACAGATGAAGCTTACAATAGCCACCTTCATAGATGCAGTGTCCCTCCAAATGTTCTTTGGCAACTGCAGCTGTTGTTATATCTAAAAATTCAGGAGAACCAAATTAATAAGCTAAACAGCAAATTCCACAACGAAATACAACACATGACGCAATGACACATTATGGGGACATCTAACAAATGTCCTAGGTAGAGAACCTGGAGGTTTTACATAGAGAATCACTGTTTTTTTTTTTGAGTTAGGAAGATAAGCTTCCTCAAATGCAAACTACTAGGAAAGTATCTCAGATGCATGTAATAATATAGGGCAATGATTTCATGCAACCGTTGTATAGTAATATGATGCAACAACCTTAAAAAACCATCTTATGGCCATTTGTTTGATCCAAATTTTGAAATACACACTCTTTTCATTCTAATCAACAATCACAAAAAAAAAGAAAAAAATTGAAAACACAACCTAGAAAGTATTTTTTAACCCAATTAACATAGGCCGTTAATTTTGGTGAGATGTTTAGATCTAAACCTTGGAAGGATTTTTTTCATTTCCAATTTTTTTAGATAGCTTTATTATCATTAGATGAACAATGTTAAAAAAGAAAAAAATGATTTTGAATTTATAAAGGCTAAGATCTTGAAATTCAAAAAATGAATGGTCTAGATTCATTTCTGGAAGGGACTCATTTTGACCATATCTAGGGTTCAAATTGAACCTTTTTTTTGGGGGGGGAGGGGAGGGGAGGGGGGGGGGGGAGATTGCTTATTGAGATAAAGAGAGTATGTGCGCAAAATTTGAGGTCATACAAATACCACAAACATGGTTTTCTAGAAGTGTCATTGCATTATACTATGATACAACCGTTGCATTGGATCAATGCTCCATAATAAAATATCTACTATATTTGCACCTCAATACTTCCCTATCTTTAGCACAGCTCATAGGACAATAACTACATTTCAACCCAAATTTGCTAAAGTTCTATATTAGCCCCTTTTCTTTTCTTTTTTTTTTTAAATTCTCTAATTTGATACAACAGGATAGGCTAACAGCACATTGAAAACACTTGACGCATAATAAAACCATTCCGTCTCTTTTCAACTAGTTGAATCGGTGCATAGCTTCTACGAAGACTACAGAACATGTAAACAATACTCATTAGTCATATACCATTTCATAAAGTCAAACAACACACATTTAGTTTGAAAAGGCTAGTTATGCAAGCAAATTAAAATTTCTCAGTTACCAGAAGCTCCCATCAAGCATACCATGGAAATCAAAACAAAAAAATGCACGGATAAGAGGCGCCCCAAAAAAAATTAAAAATAAAAAAAATAGCGTATAAAAGAGATCATTAAATTCTGACATTGTTGATGAAAATCACATCAAAAACAAAGTTTGCTTCCATACAATTCCATAGTCATACCAGGGTACTGAATCAATGCCTGCAGACCACCATTCTTCTCAAAGATAGCAATTTTTTGAACAGTGCCAAATGCTGAGAACACCTGAAACAGAAAACAAAAACTGTGCAAGTTAATAATGCATTTTTCAGAATATCTTATGCAAAAAAGAGACAGTACGCTTCCATCTTACCGTGTGAAGAACATCAACAGTCACTACATATTGCATGTTCTCAATGGAAGCAAGAAGTACATTGCTCTCTGGTTCCTTTCTCTTCCCGTCTGGGCCTACAACAGGCTGGCAAAATGATCTATTAGCCCACAAGCAATGTTAGACTGTTAAAGAAACACTAGCAATAGTAACCTACCTGTGCAGTGCCTTCAATAGCCGAAGGATTCACAGGAAGGTAAGGATTTGTGTAATCCCTGCAAATGAAAGTAGGCATTTCAAAGGTTGTAAGCAAACCTCAAATTGTAGACCGCAGAATGCCACAAAATCAATTGTAAAGAAAAACAGACTAATGTTTGGGCCCTTGAGTAGGAACACACTTGCAAAATAACAAGAAGACAGAGCAGCAAATAAAGGATTATCTTGGGACCCATGACTAGAACCAGGAAAAGTAAACATGCCAATATGATAGAATTTTGACCATTCGCTCCATGCAATAGCTACCTGCTGCGATGTGATTGAAATTTGATATTCAAGTCAGTATGAGCTGAAAATGATATCCGTAAATGGCAAGAACCAACATGCTCTGGAAGTAGGTACCTGTGAATACCAAATTGATCACAAACATATTGTACCAGGAAGCCAAGGAATAATAGATCAAATACCACTCAAAGATCTCTTACCTTGGAATACTTCTCCCATCCAATGCATTTCTTGCAGCAGAGGCAGTTTCAGAATCGCTGAACTGTATCAATGCCTGTGATAAAAATATATATATTCCTTATAAAAAACAATGACCTTCCTGAAAAGTTCGCAATTCATACTAACTGTTGAGGCAAACATGTACTCTAACACAAGACACTGAGACAGTAAGAAATCACCAACCAACAAAAGAAAATGACCTGAAATCCAGCAGCCTTTTCAAAAGTTGCAATCTTGTGCACAAATCCAAAGGCAGAAAATACCTGCACCACGACATTCATGAGAATAAAACAAAAGATAAAAACTATGCAAACAGTTGTCATTGCTCAGCTTTGATGTAACACATGATCATAAGATAAAGCATCAATTAGCTTTCTTTAAGTGCGGAAGGGCACCTGCAGCTAAGAGCACGGGATTCATCATAACACCAGAGGCATGATACATAGTTCAATAGACATTAAAAAACGAATGTGATGTATAGGATCATATCAATGCACTGTCTCCAAAGAAAACAAAGTCAAATGAGAACAAGAAATATACTAAAAACTGAATTTTTGAAATTTAAAAGCAGAAAAACATTCAAAACATAGCAGCCACAAACTGTAAGCCCCAGTACTATCATACAAAATCAGTAAAGAAAAGAAAAAACAAAAAAAGTCCAAGGATGCACTAATTCCTTCTAATATTTTACAACAACCATTTCCCTTGAATATTGTACGAAAAGCTTATGTAGTATCTTTTATATTAAATCCCATATAATCCAAATAGGAGAAGTATATGGATTGACACTATAACTAGAAGTAGAAGAGTCGGAAGTTAAACCTCAAAAATCAGCTCCCAAACAGGTTGAGTTGACCCTACAACTTGGATAAGGCATAATGTAAAAGGAGAGTCAGAAGAAATATTGTTCATCTACTAAGGTTGTAAGGCTAAGAGCAGTACGGTTAAAAGATTGAGGTAAGCAAAACACACATGTTTCTCCCAATGCAGTATGCTGACAACGAGGATTTCTCCTTGATAACATGGACCTGCTGATGATCCATGCAGAGTGTGTCAACCAAAAGTAGAGTAAAACCGCCTGGGTCTTGTAACTTTTTCAAGCTAATTAAATATTCCCTACTTACACACATACCCCAACAATGAGCAGAATCAAGAAATGTGCCAAACTAGTGAAAACATTCCCATAGATCCTGAAAAGAAATCGATTAGTTGAATGAACTTACGAGGTGAATGACATCTATACTGACATCACCAGCTTCTACACCTTCAATGGTCACTAGCAAAACATTCCCAGCAACATCTCCGGAGCTCTTGTTGTTGACAATTTCTTGCCTGTTAGAATATTGGATATATACTGTTTTTCCCCGCACCTGTGCTGGCTCTGATGAAGAAGCATAATATGAAACCATGGAAATGGCCTGATTAAGGTCCACCTGTATGAAGTGTATGTGTGTAGGTTGTCAAGACAGACACTTCCAATGATAACATTGCAGAGCAAATAACAAGTAAACAATACACATAAGTTGTACATTTGAAAATACATTGGATACTGTCAGATCACATTTTCTCAATAAAGGCAGTGGAGATGAACCATAGTACATATGATGGACAAACTGAAGAAGCTACAGGTCATCTCCACTAAGTGTTTTGAAGCTGGACGGTGGACGCTGAGCATAAACATAATATGCAAGCCATACTTTTCCCTAGTAACAAGGCACAACCATATAAAATATGCACAACACAGAAAGTAATAGATAACCACAAGTAAAAATAGTCTTTGATCTCAATTCTAATTTTATTGAAGTCCCTACCAATAGAAACACGAGCAAAACATAATTTGTATGCAAAGCTGCATGCATATGTGCGAAAAAAACAAATCCTATAAAAAGTTCATGAGAACTAAAGTTTGTGACCCTCCAATATCCTTATTTTCCACAAGCAACAAGACAGGACTTTTTGTTGCCCAGATTCTCGGCAAGAGGACAAATATACACAAAAACAAAGGGTACTCCAAGTATTAGAAAATTAAATAGCATGTTGTATTATCAAGGGAAATTAAATAACATGTTAGTACAATTGACAGCGGAGGTCATAGATACATTCGTAGAATTACGATGTCGGAAGTGAAATAAGTTTTGAAAAGGATGAAGATAGGAAAGGCATTAGGACCAGATGATATCTCAATAGAGGTTTGGAAGTGCATGGGGGAGATTGGCATTAACTGGCTAATGAAGTTGTTCAACAAGGTGTTGAGAACAAATAAAATGTCAGACGAATGGAGGAAAAGTATTGTGGTACCTATTTACAAGAACAAATAAGACATACAGAATTGTGCAAACAATCGAGGAATCAAGCTTATGAGCCATACTATGAAACTCTGAAAGAGAGTGATTGAGCAACAACTAAGGCATGAAACGAGTGTATCTGAAAATCAATTTGGTTTTATGCTAGGAAGGTCAACAACGAAGGCTATTTTCTTAACTAGGCAACTGATTGAGAAGTTTAGGGCGAAGGGAAAAGACTTCCACATGGTCTTTATTGATCTAGAGATAGCTTATGACAGAGTAACTCGAGATTTGGTTTGGAGGGTGTTGGAAAAAAATGAGTCTCAAGACACTACATCGACTTAGTGAGAGATATGTACGATGGAACGCTAACAAGTGTACAAACAACTAGTGGAGACGAGTGAGTTTTCAATGTCAATAGGTCTACATCAATGATCAACATTGAGCCTGTACCTCTTTGTCTTAGTTATGGTTGACTTAACTAGGCACCTATAAGATGAGGTACCGTGGTGCATGTTGTTTGTCAATGTTTTAAAAAACAGTCCGCCTGAAGCCTCGACACCTGCCCAGGTGGCCTGGACTAAAAATCCGCACGCTTAGACCCAAGCAGCCCTACACGGGCGGATGTACCTAGGAGAGCGCCTAGGGCCATAAGGATTTTTTCAAAAGGGGTGATTTTAACCCCCAAGGTTGTATAAAACGTTATGGGGTTTATTTTTAATCCCCAAAGTGAAAAAAAGAACCCTCAATCTCCATACTAAACTTATTTATGAGAATCTAAAGTAATTTTTGAGAATCGAGAGTATTCTTTGTGGATTGAAAAAGTTTTCTTTTCTCATTGAAATTATTTTTAGGGTGCTACTGGTGGATTCGAAGATTTTTGAGTTGATTGGTAGCTCTACTAAGATATGTGATATGTTTGTATATAAAAATGTATGTTGCAAACTTGCGATATTTTCAAATGGAATAAATTACAAAATCTGACACACCTATATGCATATATGTGCATTTGGATGAAAAATATATGAAAAAATGCTAAGAATTTGCACTACGGGGCGCCCGTATGAGCGCCAGACAGGCCGCTTGGCGTTTTTTGAAGCCTTGGTTGTTCGTAGATGACAGTTTTGATCGATGAGACCCAAAACAATTTCAACACAATGTTAAAACTTTAGAGGGATGCTCTAGAATCCAAAGGTTTTAAAAGTAGCCGAACTAAGACAAAGTATATGGAATGCAAGTTTAGTAATAATAGGAGTAGAGACGAGGAAGTAGTTAAGATTGACGGCTAGGAAGTACAAAAAGGCAGCATTCTCAATATCTTGAGTCAATAATCCAGGAAAATAGAGAGATTGAAGACGATGGCATACAAAATTAGAGCGAGGTGGGCGAAGTGGAGATGTGCAACTGGAATTTTATGTGATCGCCGCATACCAATGAAGCTAAAGGGCAAGTTCTATAGGACAGTTGTGAGATCAACTTTGCTCTATGAGGCAGAATGTTGGGTGGACAAAAAACAATATACCCATAGAATAAGTGTAGCGGAGATAAGGATGTTGATATGGATGAGTGGCACGTCAAGAAGGGATAGAATTCAAAATGAATCCATTCGAAAAAGTTTAAGTGTGACACCAATAGGCGATAAGATAAGAAATAGTAGACTTAGGTGGGATGGCCATGTGTGGCGCCGACCAATTACAGCACCTATTAGGAGGTGCGAGTTAGTTCAAGTAAAAGGACTGAAAATAGCAAGGGGTAAATCCAAAAAGGCGTAGTTGGAAGTAGTCCGAAAAGATATGGGGACTTATGGCTTCACTGAGGGTATGGCCTTTAATAGAGCAGAACGACAGGCCAAAATTCGTGTAGCCGACCTCAATTAATTAGAAAAAGGCTACGATGATGATGATTATCAACGGAATGCTGCATAAGATTGCAGTATGTTATAATGTTTTTTAAGTGTTTAACAATAGAGAAACCCCTCAAAGGAATAACCCACCAGCTGAAACTTGAAACTATTCCTGAACATGGGTAGGTATACAATAACTTCAGCTATTCCTGAACATGGGTAGGTATACAGCCAAATTCCATATAGCCCGAGGCTGATTTCTATTGCAAGGTAATATTAATGAAGAGGAAATCTTATCCAAAAAAGAAAGAACAATTTCCAACCAAATTTAGACATAATACAAACCGAGATTTTCGAACGCTAAAAAATCATAAGCCAACCACAAACGCATACAAGCAAATGAAAAGCCTCTATAAGCTTGGTATTGTTGGACATTGCAGCCAAAATTTTTGGACATCGACTTTCACAAAGAAAACAAACACCAGCTAAGAGAAATGAGATATTAACTCGATGTGATAACAAGTAGGAAGTCCAAAACCAATGAAATAACAGTGAAGATGAATGACTTTACAGCAAAAAAAACAACTCAACTATCCAATAAAATCTCTAAACACCAAATTTTGCAAAGAATTTCTCTAAGCTCAAAGGAAATCAAAAAACCAAAAAACAAATCCCTTTATAAATGGAAAAAACTGAATAAACAAGTGAGAATTCACTAAATCGATAGGCACCAAAAGAGTGTAGGAAAAAAAAGAAAAAACAAAAAAAAAACTCACAAATTCGACGAAAGCCTGGTTACGGTTGGCCCCAACATTGCATTTGGTGTTGACAATCTTCCCAAATGGCTTGCAGAGCTCAATGAGCTCTTCTTCTGTGCATTCCCATGGAAGGTTGCGGAGATGCAAAACTTTTGAAGGAGTTTGAGTGTATCGAAACTGAGGTTGCCCTGACGAAGAAGACATCTTCTATACACCCACCAAGCTATAGAATGTCAAAACAACTCAAAATTAGGGCTTTCATTTAAGGACACTGAACCATACATATGCAACAGGAAGATTATAAAACCAAGGCAAACTTCTAAACTGTTCTTCAATAAAACTAAGGGGAAATCTATGGAAAACCTAGGGCAGCTATAGCCATAAGCAAGAAGGCAATGAACTGTCCATAATAAAACCAGTGCAAAATCTGTGACAAACCAGGACAAAAATCTAGGGAAAACTGCACCAACCTTAGGAAATCTTCCTTAATTGATTTGGGGAAAAAAAACTACGAGAATCGGCATCAAAATAGGAAATGTTCCTTACACGAACTGGGCAAAGAGCTAAGGCAAGCTTCCCAGTCTCGGTAATTGTTCCCTGAGTAAACTAGGGCACGCAGGGAAAATAGCTAGGGAAAGCTTCAGGAACATCTGGAACTGCTGCTAAGCAAAACCTAGGGGAAAACATACGGTAATAGATCTAAAATCTCTACTTAACAAACACTGGCAAAATCTAGGGCAAAAAAAGCACTGGAAAGAATACCAACCTCTGAAACAGCTCCTTAACGAACGTATGCAACTGTTGCTTAATAAAATTGGGGCAAAATCAACGGATAAGAGCAATTGAGGCAAGGTATACGAACCTCTGCCACTCCTCCCGATGAAGCTTCTGGACCAGAGACTTCGCCTCGCGTCCTCTATCATATATATACTTGGTAGAAATAAATTGCAGCACAAACTTATGGAAGGGACAGCCTTTCGCAGAGGAGCGCTTACAGTGTGCTCCCGCGGGTTCATATTGTACGCTTACACCCTTTGTGGAAAAGAGAAGCACACCGTGGCACACGGGTAAAAATCAAAGGGTGCGGTTTCTATATGGTTGCAATCTTAAACAATCCAATTAAAGCGTACCTCCAAAATCTATTAATTTTAATTTTGTTGTAAAAATTTATTAGGATTATCTTAAAATCTATTTTCATATCTAATTAGATATTTTAAACTTAAAAAATAGTTAAAATCAATGAGATCTATAAACTTATAAAAATCTTCAAAATGGGCGGTCTAGATAATGTGTTGCGAGATGCACCATTTCTAAGGCTCGAAAACTTTTTTTTTTATATATTCATACATCTCAATATCGGGATGATCAAATATATGGTTTTTCAACATTAAAACAGCCTTTCCGATACATTTTTGAGGTACATATGTAATTCTACATGATGCAACCTTATATGAACTTTTCTCAAAATTAAAAGGGAAATTGTTATATGCTGGCTTGACCGCATTTCTACATATGCCGTCTAAAAAGTGTAAAGCGAAACATCCATCTTAAAGATGGATGCAAGTAGGTGTTCTATCTTAAAAACAATGGAAACTGATGGACCAAATATTTTGTTACTTTTCTTACTAGAATTATTATTTTGAGTTTTTCAAATTTATTTTTTTTTCATATTCATGCTCTCCATTTTAGAAATTATATATCCTTAAAAACTATCTTAAAATCCATATTAAAAATAGATATATTAGGTGGCCCGCATTTTCGTGTATACAGGCCTGGCCACGTAGAAACCGGGTCCAAATTAAAAATACAAAAAGTTTATGGAAAATTGTTTCATGCATATGTTGTCCAATAAATGTAAAGCATCTATCTTAAAGATGGATGCAAGTAGGCGTTCCATCTAAAAACAATGGAAACTAACTATCCAAATATTTTCTTTTGAGAATTATTATTTCTAATTTTTAAAATTTATTTATTCTTCATATCTATGATATCCATGTTAGAGATTACATGTCCTTAAATATAAAATGTTAAGATCTATCTCAAAATTATATTTATTAAGAGGCCCACATTTCTACACATGCGGGCTTCGCCGCATAGAAACCAAGTTCCAAAGTTTATACGAGGGTAGGGCCCTAAGCAATCATTTTAAGGCGCACCTCAAAAATTCACTAGGAAATGTTGTTTTGATGGCAAAAAATCTTCAAATCAATGATCTCGGCCTCAATATGTATGGATATGAGAAAAAAAATGGATTTGAAATTTTGGAAATAATACATCTTGCAATGCATTTTTTATAAAGTAAATTTTCAAAATTTTAAAGTGTTCATGGATTTGCCCGATCTCTATTGTTTTTTAATCTTCAAAATTTTTAGTTAGAGATGAAAATGAATTTTCAAACCATCACAAAGATTTTCAATATTGGGACAATATCTTTTGATATTATTTGAAGGTGTGTCTTACTTTTATTGTTTAAGGCCTTAGCCTTATATAAACCACAACATTTCTTTTAATTTCAATTGTTTTCATTGAAACTTATGTGATTTTTTTAGTTGGAATTGTTGGATTTTGGTTTGGTGAAATGGGGGCAGGAAATGGTATGATTTGTAAATATAAATCTCAAACTCTTATTGTTTTCAAACACGTCGGAACGCTATCTCAATACGGTATTTGCCCCCCTTCGATGTAGTATTTGTTGTGCATAAAGATACTTCGTCATTAGGATACAGGAAAACAAATAGGTATTTTTAATGTTCCTAAGCTCTATGCAACCGAGCTTAGAACTCACACAATAGACCCCAGAGCTTGATAGTTTAGAGAGAAAAAGAGATAAAATCGTGTAGAGAGATAGAGAGAGTTAGCCCACTGGTTTGCTTGCTGGAATTGTAGAGAATGGAGGCACCAGAGTCTTGATAGTTTAGAGAGAAAAAGAGATAAAATCATGTAGAGAGATAGAGAGAGTTAGCCCACTGGTTTACTTGCTGGAATTACAGAGAATGGAGGCACCAGAGTCTTGATAGTTTAGAGAGAGAAAAAAATAAAGCTGAGTAGAGAAAGTGAGCCCACTTGAATGCTGATGTTACAAGCGTCCATCTTATCAATGGCTGGATGACCGTTGGATGTCCCACATTCTTTGACAGCTAGTTGATCAACACTCTTTGAGAGCTAGCTAACGGACACTCTTCGACGGTTAGACGACCATTGGATTCTTCTACGAGTCAGGCTCACAAAAAGATAATACACCACGAGCCCAAGCCGCACACGTACTCGAGCGAGGGGTGCCTCATATGCACCATCAAGCGCACACGCCCTCGTGTGTGCTCCATACATGTTCCTTCTCTCTCATTTGTGCTTATAGTATATTCCAAAGGAATACGTGTTTTTAAATACAACTCAACAAACTCTCTCCTCTTCAATGTGAGACTAAAACCCATATGTTTCTCTCTCTACAAAGCAATTTAAAAAATAACAAACTATATGTTGTTTTGAAATACATATAAGTATTTTTAAAACCAAAAATACTAACATAAGAGAAAAAAATGTAATTTTAAACGGTGGGTGCAAGAATTTGTTGGTGTAAATCTAAATAAGTAAAGTGATGCGCACCTTAAAAGTTGGTTGGAAGATATAATATTGATGTGGGATTGCATACAACGAGATCATTTACCATTGATATATGAGGTCACATTACTTATAAGGAAAAGTTTATATAAGTGGGAGGCTCTAAATAATCAAATTAGGGCACACCTCAAAAAATTCACTATAAGAAATTGTTTTGATGCCCAAACGTCTTCAGACCTCAAGATGCATGGACACGAGAAAAAAATGAATTTCAAATTTTAGAAATAGTGCATCTTGTAACGTAGTTTTTTACCGTTAATTTTCAAGATTTTCAAATTTTCATAGATTTGCTCGATCTACACTATTTTTGAAGCTTTGAATTTTATAATTAGTGATGATAATATATTTTAAGGCTATCAAAAAGATTTTCAATATTGAAACCACATTCTCGATACTATTTGAAGGTGTGCTTTACTTTGATTGTTTAGAGCCTTGGCTCGATACAAATTGCACCCTTACTTATAACCATCCAATGTTAAGTGTTGTAGAATTTTACTTTCAACTTTGAACTTGGTCAATGAAATAAATGGAGCGACCCAATTTTACGTCCAATGTCGAGATTAATTGTGCCTACTTTATGGTCTTATTATATACTTTCCCAATCGATGTTGGGAATTCTATAATGGCTTAAATTTTATTTATAGTTCTAAAATTTAAAAATATGAACACGTTATAGATTAAGTAAATATATGAGAACATTAAAAATAAAGAAAAAGAAGAAGATGCATTATTTTTAGGGTGTAGTTTGCATAGAGCGTAGGCTCTAAACAATCAAATTAGAGCTTACCTTCAAATAGTGTTGAAAAATGTGGTTTCAATACCAGAAATCTTTGCGAAAAACTTAAACTATATTTGTATCTTTATTTATAAAATTTAAAGGTTAAAAAATAGTGTCGATTAACAGATCTATGAAATCTTGAAAATTGATGGTAAAAAAATACATTACAAAATATACTATTCCCAAACTTGAAATTCAGTTTTTTTCTCATGTGCATGTATTTTGATGTCGAGATGATCAATTTGAGGATATCTGGGCATCAAAACAACCTCTTTTAGTGGAATTTTTGAGGTAGTCTCAAATTTGATTGTTTAGAGTGTCCGCTCTATATAAACTTTTTTCTTATTTTTATGGCTTAGAATATATTTTTATTCCATATCCATACATTTGAGGTCAAGATGGTCAATTAGAGAACTTTCCAGCAATAAAAAAAAAACCTTTTCTATAGGCTTTTGAGAACTTTTCAGCATTAAAAAAAACCCTTATCTATAGGCTTTTGATGCAGTGTTTTGTTTTTGTTTTTTTTTTTTTTTTAAGTTACGTGACGTATCACACATTATATAACATTTTTTTCATTACTAATCAATTAGTTAGAAAAGTAAAATCAAAAGGCTATAAACTTATTTTCATTATTAATCAATTAGTTGAGAAGTAAAATTAAAAGACCAAATTAATTTTGAAGAAGACATTTTAGTTATGGGTGCGGTTTGTATAGAGTTGAGTTTTAAACAAACAAAGTAGAGCGTACATTCAAATAGTATCAAGAAATGTGCAAACTGGAAATCTGTGTGTTAGTTTTAAAATATAATTTTATATCTAATTATAAAATTTAAAGCTTTGAAAGTAATGTAGATCGAGGAATTTATGAAAACTTGAAAATCTTGAAAATTAACGGTAAAAAAATACATTACAAGATGCACTATTTCTAAAACTTGAAATCCATTTTTTTACCATGTCCATGAATTTTGATGTAGAGATGAACAATTTAAAGATATTTGAGCATCAAAACATCTTTAAGTGAACTGTTTGAGGTGCGTACTAATTTGATTGTTTAGAGCCTCAGCTCTATATAAACTTTTTTCTTTAAGTAATTTAAATTTTAAGATGTCATGATAAAAAATGCATTACGGAAGGCACTACTTCCAAAACTTGAAATCCATTTTTTTCTCATGTCTATGCATAAATTAGGACGCACCTCATAATTTTTACTAGGTTGTTTTGATGTGGAAATATCTTCAAGTTGATCGTATCGACATCAAGGCGCATGAACATAAAAAAATAAATAGATTTTAATTAAAAAAAATAAAATATCTCGTAATGCATTTTTGGACCTCAATTTTCAAAAGATTTTCGAGGTTTTTACCGATCCGCTCGATCTAGACTATTTTTGAAGCGTAGCTTTAAAATTTCACTATTGAAATCACGTTTCTCGATACTATTTTCTCGACACCTTTTGAAGGTGGCCTCGTCTCCATCGACCTTTTAAGTTACTTTTTAAGATGTACGGTAAGAA